TTTCAGCCCTCGTGTTAGTCAGTTAGAAATGCATCCGTGCATTTATACGTTCTCGTGGTTTCCTTGAAAATCATACACGACCAGGACCACAATGCCCAAAGTTTAAAGTTTCTTTTAGACCGCAACGCTCCGCAGTGCCCTCAATGCCTAGATGAGTAAGCACCCCTGCCCCCAGGACACCCCTGCCCCCAGGACACCCCTGCCCCCATCACTTTTTCCGTAAGAGAGACAAAAGAATTTCAATAGGGTCAACCGTCCACCGTCAAATGGCCAAGATGTCAACCGTCAACTGTCAAAATGCGATAACGCCTCTAAAGATCCTTCACTGATTTTAAGATCCTTCAATTTAAAAATTCTTGCTTTTAAAGATTCCCCGTTCTAAAGATTCCCGCTTTTAAAGATTCCCGCTTTTAAAGATTCCCGCTTTTAAAGATTCCCGCTTTTAAAGATTCCCGCTTTTAAAGATTCCAGCTTTTAAAGATTCCCGCTTTGAAAGATTCTCGCTTTTAAAGACTCCCCCTTTTAAAGATACCCCGTTTCAACGATTCCTGCTTTAAAGACTCCCCATTTTCAAGATAATAGTAAAGTGTATGGTTTTAGATTGTATTGTATTTTATCATTGACACTTAAGCTGTTTTTATAATCTATTTTTTTTATCTGTAAATAGTTTTATCTTAATTTTGTAACTAATATTTTATCACTCATGTATGGCAGAAGAGCCCTCAAGGGGGAGCTATGCAGTTAGTATGTAGGTATGTATGCACGCATGTGAAGATTCTCGCTTTTAAAGATTCTTCACTTTAAAGTTTCTCGCTTTTAAAGATTCCCCGCTTCAAAGATTCCCCCTTTTGTGGATTTCCCATTTCCAATTTCCCATTCCCCATTCCTCATTCTCCCATTCCCCATTCTCCTATTCCCCTATTCCCCTATTCCCCTATTCCCCTATTCTTCTATTCCCCTATTCCCCTATTCCCCTATTCGCCTATTCCCCTATTCCCCTATTCCCCTATTCCCTTATTCCCCTAATTCCCTATTCGCCTATTCCCCTATTCCCCTATTCCCCTATTCCCCTATTCCCCTATTCCCCTATTCCTCTATTTCCCTATTCCCCTATTCCCCTATTCTCCTATTCCCCTATTCCCCTATTCCCCTATTCCCCTATTATCCTATTCTCCTATTCCCCTATTCTCCTATTCCCCTATTCTCCTATTCCCCTATTCTACTATTCCCCTATTCCCCTATTCTCCTATTCCCCTATTCCCCTATTCCCCTATTCCCCTATTATCCTATTCTCCTATTCCCCTATTCTCCTATTCCCCTATTCTCCTATTCCCCTATTCTACTATTCCCCTATTCCCCTATTCTCCTATTCCCCTATTCCCCTATTCCCCTATTCCCCTATTATCCTATTCTCCTATTCCCCTATTCTCCTATTCCCCTATTCTCCTATTCCCCTATTCTACTATTCCCCTATTCCCCTATTCTCCTATTCCCCTATTCCCCTATTCCCCTATTCCCCTATTATCCTATTCTCCTATTCCCCTATTCTCCTATTCCCCTATTCTACTATTCCCCTATTCCCCTATTCTCCTATTCCCCTATTCCCCTATTCCCCTATTCCCCTATTCCCCTATTCCCCT